CCCCCATGCTGCAGGGCTTCGCAAAGACACCGGAGTTCGTGTCTTACTCGATCCGTTTCCGCGATACCTCGAGATCGCGACCAAAGGTCCAACCAAAGCTTCGGACTGCCTCCGTTACGTTCCATCTGTTTGATCAAGAAGAGGACAGTGGAGGGGCCCTCGTGCGGAGCGTCGGAAAAATTACACTCTGTGGCTTCTTGACATACTTTTCGCCAAGGTTTGTAACGATGCCCTTGCTCGTCATAGTCGACATACAACGTCCTTGCGTCCCCATCGTCCTCTGCCTGCTCTTGCTCAACCTTCACATCGGGCATGTCGGAGGATCTAAGTTCATTAACACTCGGATACAAATCTCTCTCCTTCCGAAACTCCTCGATCTCGCTCCGGTCAATGAGCTCCACTTTTAACCAGCAGCCGTTCCGTGACACTAGCCCAGTGTGGTCGCCGAACTGGACATCCGTCGCAACATCTACCTCAACACTCTGGCCTCGCATCACCCCTTCTAGGCTCTCAGTGGCGATCCATACCTTGCCATGGGATGCACGGGTGATTGGGGCCAGTGAGTGCAGGCAAGGTGCAGCGAAACCCGTTCCCCCTGGACTAGCCGGGCCGGTCACGGGTGCCAAACCGGACTGCTTACCGGCCAGTCTGCGAGTCACCAAGAGGCCGCCCAGGAAATCACTTGAAGATACCCTGACACCCTCCATATTCAGGATCTCTGCAGGTCGCCAATTGTTGTCAAAGGCTGGTTCCTGGAGGCCTTGTCGGTAAGCTTCTCTGATCCGCTGCTTGAAGTCATCATCGGTGAGTCGGGAGGCGAATCGATACGCCGGACCGCCCACTCGGCTCCAGTACTTAAAATCCCGATCCTTCACTTTGGCCCTTATCGGTCCGTCCCCCCCCGCGCACCGAAGATCTTCGGGGTAGAGGTCGCCGTCGGGGGTCAAGATGAACCAAACACCATCTTGAAGTCGCCAAAGGGCCAGCCTCTCGTGATACACATTGTCGTCACTGTAGTAAACAGCGAAAGTGTCCCCTGGCACGAGTGTTAACCAAGACGCCATGGCCCCGGCGTCGAGGGCTTGGGCCTAGATCGAGATCGCCTTGCACTGGTCGACATGAGAAAAGGAGATAAACAGTCGCTCCTCCCAACAAGCCGCCCAGGACGAGACTGCTCGCCACCAAACCAAATCTGTAGACTCCAGAGCACTCGCAATGGCACTCAACTTGCAGCTCCGGAGCCACACAACTGATGTTCAAGATTCGTTCCACAGCTGGGGCAGGCTCGTACGTTTTCGGATTGCCTTGGGAGCTGAGAAGATGACCAATCAAGGCCAGGAAGAGGCCCTCGTATCGCATGGCACAAGTCTACCAGTCCCTTTCACCTTGAGCAGATATTTTACACAACGACTGACCGTGCTTCGGCCTGACATCTTCCCGTGCTCGCACTACCATAAGTCCGTTTGTGGCACTTCGTGGCGACTGCACTGCTACCCCAAAGGCGATTACGTGCTTAGGCAGCGACACTTGAAGCGATTCACAGCCGACGCCAAGCGAGTTCGTTGTGAAGTGGCCAAGGACATACTTAAAAGTTGCATCGGCAGTGCCAGCAGCTCTCGACAATGATGCATGCCCTTTCCTTCAAGTCTGAGCGCAAACCGAACCTGAACTGTGTGACATCATGAAGTAACTACGACCACAGGCAAGGCCTAACTGCACAGGCAAAGGTGCCATCGAGGACACACGGGCAGTGCCACACCTGGCATCAGCTGCTGAATGCTCCCGTATAGCCCACTTGCCATCTGCAAAAGCTGACTCGATAAGCAATGGCAGCGCTCAGCGGTCTCGGTGCTGCGAGCAGCAGCATGCTCGTTAATCCAATGTTGGGACACAAAAACTGCAGCTCGAATATTTCGGAAGAGCAGCTGCCAATGCAGCGGAGTCAAGCAACCTTTTTGCTTTCGACCTGTGTGAGTCAGGGACCGTTCTTGTCTCACGAGATTTGCAACGTCCCGACACTTTGCGCGCTCACACATGAGTCTTATGAAGTAGAACTGTGATGGATCAGTGGCGTCGTAGCTTCACAGCAAAAGTCGAGGGACCTGGATCCTCTGGCGGGCTCTTGCAGAGATATGTCTTACACGCGACCCCCTCGTCCGCGCGGCAATGCGACCAGGCGTCATCTCTTCACGGATGTGAAGAAGGCGCGGTCAAGCAATCACGGCTGCAGGTGGGGAGGCGGGGTGGGCACTTTGTTCAGCGATGATCAAAGGTAATAGAAACCACGAGGCTGCCAACATGGATGTCAATGACTGACGTCAATGTAGTCTTTTGCCTCCTCGACCCTTAACAGAACCCGTTGAACCAGTCTTCTACTGAAACCGTCTGCGTACTACCAGCTCGTGAAGGAGGAAACTGGGTCATCAGCCCTGCGCTGGAGTAGTGCAAGCACGCTCCGCAGGCGAATGTCGCAGTTAAGCATGGCCGTCGACACAGAGGCTTTGGATCCGCGAGCCGTGCGGTTCAAGCTCTTCCTTCACATCGAGAGGGCAAGGCAAAAAGAAGTTCTCGGAAGCTGCCCGAAGGTGCTGCGGAAGCGGTGGTGGAGGCAGATCCCGAAGGTTAGGGGGTGAATGAAAGGCACCTACAGCTTTGACCAGTCCTGATCATAATCCTCCCACTGGTCTTGCCAGTCTCCCGGCTCCTTTTCGGGCGACATCTCCACCCATCGAACGCTTGGATGCTGGTCTGTTCCGGTGAAGCGGTCATTTGGCGGATCCAGCAGCCAAGGGCAGGCAAGGGAGGCTGGGGGAGTCCGTGGCGTCCGTGGGCCGGAAGCTGCCTCAAACGCTTGCAAGGTGCAGACTGCAGCACTCAGAACGCAAAAGTTCCTCAGGCTGCGAAGCTCTTCTGATTCATGAATCTAGAGCAGCTTACCGACTGCGGACAACCTATCAACCACCAAGCTCGGCTTCAGGTGGCATGAAGACTCAGCCTCTAGAAGAGGACATTCAACTTGATGGCGACAGGCATGTCACCTTGTCGGAGATTTGCCTGGTATACATCCAATCAGAGCTCTGCTGTCTTGACAAGTCTTTGAGCTACGATTGTGTGCAATCGACCGAAGGTGACAGGGGCGCATGTTCAAAAAGTTCTGACAAAGCTCGAAGTCTGCAACAGGCCTACGGCGATGGCGATGTCCAGTGCAGCAGATCGTCGCGAGAAGAAGGACAATGCCCACAGCAGTCATGACGCTCGCAAATCCTCACCATTCTCTTGGTGCGAACGACTGACGCACGATTGTGGTACTGAACGAGTCGCTCGCGCAGTGGCCCCTGTGATTCTGTAGTACTGCCGGGGCTTCCTTAGCACAATGCCAAGGAGGCATGACAAAGTTGTCCGGAAGAGGGCATGGAAAGGTGCTGTTCTTGGCAGTGGCTTTGCTAGCCGAATACGGAGCGCCGCATCCTCTGCAGAACCCAAGACCAGCCACAGCTTAAGCTGAAAGCCGTCGTCTGTGGCCATTGCACGCTAAACACTCAAGATGCTGCGGTCTGGCCAGTTTAAGAATGCCCCACTCTGCCAGTAAAGCCGAACAGCACGAAGCAAAGCAAGATTGCAGGGGACAGCATCTGGTTGTGGTGTGGCCCATTTGCTCCACGAGCTGCCGTGACACCAACGACCTGTTTAACCTGACGAGGTGTGAGGTCCGGGCTGGAAAGGCAGGCCTGACTGGGCATGGATACGGATAGCCCCAAAGCTCGGCAAGCTGTCCTGCAGACTGTCATCGTTACCGTCAGTCCCACCTATCCTGAGGCACAGCGCTAGGCTGAGGTCTTCGACACCTGTGGAGCAGCGCATGGCACTTCTCAAGCGCAGGTCTTCAAAGGAAGCCAAGACTTAAGAATCTTGCTCAAGCGATCAAAGTCATGGCATCTGTCTCAACTTGTTCCACATCCAACAGCAATCCAGCTGCATCGCAGGCAATGTCTCTGCAGGGGCGGGAACGGTGAAGCGCAAGCAAGGAAGCATGCAAACAACATGGGCCGAAATGAAGGACGAGTCTCCAAGCCAGATGCAACCTGCCCAAAGCTTGACTACCACGATTTCGGTATATTTGGTCTGGACTTCTTGCCGCTCAGACCGAGACCTGGACGGCCGTGGTAGACACACCGGAACAGCAGCGCTCGCAAAGCTGGGCACTCAAAGCCGAAGCTTTTGGTCAATCGATGAATCGCAGCCCAGCAGTGGCCGACCCACTGCCCCAAGTCGGGCTGTCCGAGACGCGGTGATTCAAACTGCTTCGAGAGTGCAGACAGGATCCTGATCGAGTCAAAAGTTGGGCGGGCTTGGTGTGGCTTCTCAACGAAACCACGCGCAGAGCTGTCCAATAACCTTGCTCCATGGAGCTTGAACTTCGGCTCCTGCGAAAGAGCCTCAGCATGTCCAGCCTGCTAACACGCTGCGCGCGGCGGTTTGCGGCACCCTCGGGCCCCGAGGCCTGAGGGCTCGGACAGGTGCGACATGCATTGCTTCCCCGAAGAGACTGCATGTGAAGTGTGGTCTTACACTCCAAGATTTTGGACTTCACTGCTATCAACGAATGCATTGAGAGATCATGGGGCGTGGAGGTTCCGAATCAGCTCAGAGGAGTTCTGGCCGAAGCCGTCGCTTGCAGGCCAGAGTCAAGGCCAAGGCCACAGGGCCTGGAGCCGCTGAGCATGGGCTGCGCACTGCGCTGGGAGCTGCGAGCTGAGCAAACTGCGCATGCTCAGTTCTACTGAGGCAAAGTTGCTCAGCGAAGCTTTGGCACATCAAGGACTGTACCAGTAGGCGAGTCATCTCTGAACCTGGCGCTAAGCTGATGCAGTGCACCTTTCAGAGAATGCAAGCGAAGAAGGAGGGAGGACAGTCTGACAGCGTTACTCCGACGCATGATTTCTGACTCGATGCACCTTTGCTGTTCTCTGGCAGGGGCATGCAAAAACTTCAGATTCGTGCAATGCTGTACACATCACGAGGCCTACGTTCTGAATCTTAAGGTGATGTTGGGAATTCAGAAGTCATCACGAGTGCTAGGCGATTCATATGTCAGTCGTCATGGAAACGTGTCTAGGTTTGGAGGCAACATCTGTGCTCACACGTAAGGTGCTGCCAAGGAAGACATGTGGCTCAGAACATGCCTGCAGCAGCAACACTTCGTGCGGAGAGCGTTTTCGACGGCGCAGGCAAGGTCACGCAGAAGCTGGCTGCGCAGTCACAGAGACACCAAGTCGCAAGCGACGGCACAGACTGGCGAAGTCTTGTGGAGGCAGAAACGCGGCCATGCCAAGATGGACAAGGCGAGGCATCAAGAAGCCTCAGCAGCTTTCTGGTTCCTTGAAGTTCCTTGTGGTCGCCTGTGCCTCGAGGCTCGTCACATGGCAATGCAAAGACCGGATGCCGAGTCGCATGGCCACCAGCGCACCAACATGCATCATCGGAGCTAGATCTTGCAAGGAGTGGAGTTTCTGGCCAAGCGCTGCAAAGCCGGGCTCGTTCTTTCGGAACTGGTGAACAAGCAAACGCTCACATCTGCAACTGACAAGCTGCGATGCCGACGACGGGCTGCCCGGCTGCTCACCATTCTGGGGCTGCTCCTGAACCTAACTGTCTACAGTCTTTAGATGCTTTTAGTTTGTCTTGTCGTGACATTCGGCGTTTAGTCGCACCGCCTCTCGACTGAAGAGCTCTACAATGCTCAGAGCCACGTGGAGGATGCTGCCAGTCAGAGTCACAGTCATGCAAGAGCAAACTGCTGCACTTTCGACGGGGGCAAAGCTCAGTTTCAGACTCTTTCCGAGTTCGTCTCCAGGTCCAAGAAAAACCGCCTTCCAATTCAGCTTAAATCACTGAGCAAGTGGCCTGCCAAGCCCATGTTAACTCAAGTTTCCAAAGGTGTCCATACTGGTCACCAGCTTTCTTTGCTTCCCCGACTTTCTCTACGCCCAAAGGGGTCCTGCTTTTCAGTTGAGACCGGTTCAGCTTTGCCACTGCCACTACCGCGGCAAGGACAAGACAGTGGAAATGTGCGGGGCTGAGCTCCTGGCATTGGCACCCAAACGGGAAGTGCAGGAATGCAGTGGGCTGGGCTTCCAAGCACCCTTTTGAACTTTCACAGCAGCGGATGGCCAGTGATGGAAAACGAAAGCAACAGAGCTCTTATGCGAACAAGAGACCTGGCTCCTTTCTCTCCGATCGTCTGACTTACACTAGTAGCAGGATCTGAGCACCGAGGTATGTCCATAGCTCCATGCGACAGCTGCAACAGCAAATCTGAACAGAATTAGCGTTCAGATTCCAAATGCCCGGCCCGACGAGAAGATGTGGTCCTTTGCAGTTGACCAGGAGGTCGCTGATGCTGCAGTCATTGAGGACATGTCGTCTTTGCAGATGTTGTAGTTGTGGTTGTCAGAGCCATGCGACTGTGATCGACGAAAACTGGGTTCGAAAGACTGCCGAAATAGCAGATGCCACAAGAAACTCCGACGTCACAATTAAAGCACAAATGTAGATTAGAGACATGTTTCTGACGTTTGACAAAATTTGGGTGGTGCCGACACGTGTTCAGAACCAACGCGGATCACGGTGCTCTGTGCTCCACGGCTTTTCAGCCAGAGACGCCGCCGGCATTTCTGGCGGTCCTGACAGATGTAGGACGAGACGTCACCTAAGCCGAGGCAGGAGGGGTCATTTGGGTCATGCGGCCCGGCCAGGCTGGAGATTTCGGGGCCATGTTGCTGACGGTTTAGGTCCAATGGTCCCAGTCCAAGTGGGACGAGAAAGGCAAAGGCCCAGAGCCGAGGAACTTCCCTTTAGCGCAGCGGGCAGATGCAGCGCCTTGGTTTCTCTGATCCGAGCTCAGATGTCCTGCGAAGCACTCCATTCGGAGGTGCTCCAAGCATTCGTCCGGCGCTGGAATCATCTATGGGTGAGACATGGACCCGCGAAGGCACAGGGGGGCCCCTCCGCGAGAAAACAACGGCAGTCTTGCTGGCGCAGTGCGGCCCAGTCGCCTCCTAATTCGCACATGTTGCGTGATGCGGATTTATTTTGCCTTTGCACCGCATCGCGGCACGCTCGCAATGCCAGGCACCATCTGCTGTCTTCCCTACCTACACGAACTTCCTGCATCCTTGGAGACGCTTCACGTCACGAAGGATTGCTCAGCGCTTAACGTCTCATTCGGCTCTTCAGCTCGTCACGCTGGCAAGGAGTGGAAGGGAGGATTTGGGGAGCTGTGCAGGATTTGGGGGTACTTTAAGGGAGTCGGCAATCTGTGGTCTAGGCCTAGGCGAGCAACGAATGCGGCAGGTTCTTGTGTAGCCTTGGCACTCCTGATCCGTTCGGAACTCAACTGCATGCAATGTGAACGTGAACATCTAGAATCTAGAAATCCGCGAGCAGTCATCTGCAATCCCCTAACCTAACCCCTTTCAAACTCTACCTTTAAGGCTTGGTCCTGCGTCCCAGCTTTCCGTCCCGAACAAGAGAGATCTGCCATCGATTCACAACCACCCTTTACACACGTGCCTGAATGCCGCAAGAAGGCCTACCCGACAGAATCCCACACCGACCTCCTGTAGCAACTTGTCGTACTGTCGCTTCAGCTCGGCGATCTGCGAAGAAAGTTAGAGGAAGACAGCCGCGAGCTAGGGCTGGGGAACCTGCGTACTGCCTCGCTTCCTAGCTGGCATTTTATGTGATATGCAAGTCTTTCCAAGATCTTCGGCTGAACAAGGAACTAAGGAGGGAAGCAGGACCGCGCGGCCTTCGCCTTGATCGCCGTGTTCTGCTCCACCACACTCCCCTGCCGGTGGATTTCGTTGTGAGCTTCGCACTCATGGCTGTCAAGGTAGGGCCCATGCTTGGCCGAGCTCGGCAGCCAAGTCCGTCATCTCCTCCAGTGCGAAGAATCAGAGGGCCCCATCTCCACCCTTTCGATATCGGACTCTGACTCTCAGAAGGCCCTCGCTGGAACGGCTGAAGTTCTGAGTGCTTTTGCTTTCTGCAGGCGGTGCAGCAGCATCTTGTCCGCAAATGCCACTACAAGCAGCACAGGAACACTTCACTCAGCACTGCTGCGAAACATTGAAAGTTGTTGGGCTCCGAAGCATGCATTGAATTGCGGAGTCCTGCACGAGACGTGCCGCGACCGAGGTGTGCAGGGTTGCCTCAAGAGTGCATAACATTGCATGTCACTGTGCAGGCGCAGGTCCAGCGATACTTTTTGCGAATACCAGTCGACAATAGAAGGACAGAGGCTTGAAGAAAGGCCTTCCGCTGCACATCGCTTGCTGCCTTCCAGGATTCGAAGATTTCAACGAAGCTCTCACTTCACGCTAGGAGTGTCCCGTTGCTTGTGTCCCCCGCCGCGAGGCATGGGCATGGGCCTCGGACATCTCGTCGATGACGGTGCTTGCCGGAGTGGAGCCTTGAGGAGGCCGGCTCAAAGGTGAGCCTGGGAGACTCCGCGTCTTGCCTGACACGAGCTCTTGGCAAACATCTTTTCACTTCTGGCCAGTTTATTCTGCAAGTCACGGTACCTTTTGGGTTTATGCACCCGTACTTGCCATGGCGAACCCCCGATGCTGCGTGATGGTGGTGGCGGATCTGCTAGCTGTTCTAGGTGCCAAATGCTAGGATTGCCTGTACTCTCAAGACAGAGGCCCACCCTATCTTCGCAGTTTCAGACAAGAGCAACCTTGGACGAAAACCCTAGCTCTGCAGTCATGTCGGGAATCGCCAAAAGCAGTCCTGAACCTATACGGTTGAAACAGTAGTTGGAACCTCCGGGAATTCAGAGGGAAGCGGAAGCGATGGAAGCGGAAGCCTCGGCGCAGCTCTGCGAGCAGCTGTCCCGACTGGGCACCTCGTCTGAGATTGCAGGCTTTCGAGGCTTCGAGTGGGCAGCGGTGTGCCGAAGATGGGAGAGACGGGTGCCACGTGGTGCCTCTCCAGACTTCCCGACGCATGCCTACCGTTTACACACCTACGCAAGACAGACATGCGGACAGACGGGCAGGCAGGCAGGCAGACTCAGACACACAGTGACACATAGAGACGCACGGACATACCAAACCACAATCAAACACATACACCCGAACCATGACAGCCTTTCTTCTGGACCACCGGCCTCGCAGCAGTGCATCCCTCGCGGCTGTCCGCAGCACGTCATCCGTGGCTGGCTTCGTACCAGTGGCTTCGGCAAGCACCTGCGATGAGTGAAGGAGCCAAGTCAGATTTGCCGGGATCCGAGCAGCGCAGCTCCGGGAACAGTTCACTAGGATGGTACGGCCACCCATGACTTCTTAGCATCAACCCTATGAGGCCCTATGTAGGTCAAGATCCCGAAGTAAGTCGAACTTCGACTTTTATGTTCGCAGTAGGCTCGACATCAACTAAGTCTGTGTTTTCAGGAGCTCCTCTCCAAGCCTCAGCCAGCTCGCCAGACTCTGCGGCCATGAGCAACGCCTGGAGAGCTTTTGAAGAAGGGCCATGAAGAACCACACACAGGATGTTGAGTTAGCTGCTGTCAATACTAGACTTCCTTGCATGAGCCCTACAAGTACCTGCGTTCGAGCCCTGTGTGGAGCCCATGCTTTCCTCACATCTCGGCTGAAAGAGAAGGCTCCCGGTGCCCTCCGCCCCTGGCCTCCCGCGCTACTTCGCGCAGCTGCTCCAGGTCCTGGCCTGGAGAATTGAGCAGACACGAACCGGTTTCTAAGACATTACCAACGAGAATCTCTCCTGCTTGCTTCTCATGCTCCTGTCTTCACAGCGCGTGACGGCAAAGTGGTCCACGCGAGTCCAACATGCGTGCGGCACTGCGGCGAGCGCACGATTCGCGCCCCAGCATGTTCGCCGCACTGTACCAGAACGCGAGTCTTGCCCTGAAATATGATCGGGACTCTGCAAGCACGAGAGCGCGATTCACAAGCTCACTCGGGCGAACGCTCTTCTCTCAATGTAAGAACCCGATAGTCTTACGAAATTGTTTGTGTTGACAGATACTTGGAGGCCCTTTTGACTTAGTAAGTCTACTTAGTATCCCCCAGGAGCCCTATTATAATCCCCATAACCCACCTTACTAACCCTACTTACTAAGTCAAAAGGGCCTCCAAGTAGACAAGGACCGCAACTAGCGGACAAGCAGTGTAGCAGTGTAGCGCATTCACCGATCCCAGCTGAGTCCACCTTCGAGGCTGTCGTCACATGCAGATTAAAGACGGTTGACGGACTGCAGTCTAGGGTACCGTGAACAAGCACCACAATCAAACTGTAAAGCTGATGTGTCTTCGAAGGGACAAGAATACAGACTGTAACAATTAAGCAACCGCCTGCACATACATTTGAGTGGTGCATTACTTGCGACACAGCCACTGCCGGTATCTGCGACAACTTTGGACACCATCCTTTGGGATCCCTCACCTGCGGCAACCATCTGGCTCTGGCTTGCCGCCAGTGCCGCCGCGAGGTCGCCCGAGTCTGCAGCCTGGGACACCTGGGCAGGCGTCTCCTCGCGGAAAGCCCCGAGAACAACACTCGCTTCCCCAGTACCCGAGAACTCCAAACAAAACCCGAGGAATCACAAATACGAGGCCGTCTGAATTACCCCAAAATGGCTGCAAAGGCAAATTTGCTAAGATCGTCTCTCTTCATTCAGCTCTTTCGCTCCTGGGCCGGGCCTGCTCCCGGGCCTCCTGGAGCAGCGCTCCCGCTCGCTCCCTCTCCTCAGCCGGGTTGTAGGGTTGTTGGCGCTCGCCCGAAGCTCTGAAATTGCACACCGGATTTTCAGGAACCTCTTGCGGCGTGAGTAGGTTTCGTCGTCTGGGATGAAGTTTGGATTCGCAAGGCTCGGAAGAGTTCGCAGTTCCCACAAAAGGCCGCTGGGTCCGATCCTCCTCGTGGATCTTCCGCTCATGCAAGGCCTCGAGGAGCCTCTGCCAGATGCAACGAATACAACATCGTAGTCATCGGAATAACTAGCAAAACTAGTACTAGCAACAAATGAAACAAAGGTAATTAGTTACAAACCAGTTCTTGCATGAGCTGGTTTGTCTCATTCGCGAGACTCATTTCGTGGTTCCGGGCTATGGGCACAAGTGTACAACAACCGCCACCAGCAATTTCGCAACCCCAACATTCGAGCTCAACCGGTATGCCTTGCAAGGTTTAGGTTGCTCATTGGTGCTTCGAGACTGTCTGGGAAGGCAGCTAGGGGCGCCTAGCGCCTGAGGCTTGCTTGTAATGGGTCAAGCGACGAATTGGGGAACAGGTCGGCGCATTGATTCTGGGCCCTGAATGCGAAGACGTCGGCTTCTCACATCAGCGAAACAGGACAGTGATGGGGTTGGCAGTGCTCCAGAAAAAACAGAACGTACAGCTGAAGCGAAGACATGAAGACCCCATGTCGTGTCACCGAGGCTGGTATTCCTACATCCATTATCTTTCCTCCCATTCCTGTTGATACAGATACTGCGACTACAGTCGTTTTCCTTGATAGTTTGTTACTGCCAACAAGCATGACAATTGTTGTTGTTGTTGTGGTGATTGTGTTTCTGACCGAGTTGTGTCATTTCATTGCGGAAGTTGATGCCTCCTCCATGTCCTGCTTCATGCCAATTAATAGGACCTCTTCTCGTGAAGAAGTTGGAGCCTTCCCGACTCGGCGGCGACCACCAGGGACTCGACCGCATGCTGCCCTGAGCAACGGCAAAACGTGTAAACGACATAGACATAACAATACAAACAAGTCAGAGCGAAAGAGAAAGAGAGAGAGAGAGAGAGAGAGCGAGAGCATGAAAAACGAAACTAGAAAGTTAACCGTCCAAAAAGATACACAAGTTGACAGGGCATAGAAGCCGATGCATCCATCCATGCATGCATATATACGTCCGTACATGCAGACCATACCAACCAGACGACGTACATACCATGCCATACCATGCATACGTCCATACAAACAAACATACATACATATACTTACATACATACATACCTTTATACATACCTACATACATGCGTGCATGCATACATACCTAGAAGACATGACTGCATACACGGAGGGTGCCATGCACATGCACTTACTCCAAAGTCAAGTCCAGCAGCGAACGCGGTCGAACTCCGCGGAGGCCACCGCCGCCTGAATCGGCATTGGGATTTCGCGACGTGTAAGGGGATGGGTGGCATGCAGGATGAAGCAGTCAGCAAGGCAGAGACCTTTCCAATGCAAGCCTGAAGAGCGTATCTGGACAGGATCCCCCGACTTGAAATCGCTGAAGTCCAGCCCCACGTCCGAGCATTGCAAAACGTCGAAGGACGACAAGAAGAAAAGCATCACGCTCCTGCGCAGTTCCACATTTCCGCAGTGCTTCGACGAGTTCTCCCGACTGTGCCGCCTCCGTGGCTTTGGAGACTCGAGAGCCGGTTTGGGACTTGACTTGAGAGAAAGAAAAGGGCTTAGGCTACTCTTTCTCTTAACTTTCAGCTCGAAATCTCGAACTTCGCTTCCAGGTTATAGGCCAAGCACTGTCGGGTTCGCGAACTGAGACCCGCGCTTTAGGTTAGACTTGGAAGCACTGGCGAGCGACAGCTTTTCAGAGCTCGAGCCTGGCAAAGTGCGGCCGACGCCGAGGCTTTCTGCTCGGTGCCCTTCGCAGCAAAGCGCTGGAGCAGGTTCCAGAGCCTCAGACTCTCAGAGGCCAAGAGAGGACTAGTCGTTCGGATCGGAGTGGTGGTGCCGAGATGTTTCTCATCATTGATGGCATTGCAGCTTCGCAGGAGAAACGGCAGGCACTGACGCTCACAGGTCGCAGTCCAGTGGCTCTCCGGTCTGCGCGCCGTTCAGCAGCGCCTTCACAATCCGAGTGAGATGATCAGGGTGCAGGCTGCGGGATTTTGAGGCTACATGCTGAGCATGGGGGGGCCTCCTGAGCTTTCTGCCGCAGGCTTTCGAGCTCGGGGACCACTCGAGGTGCCAAGGCCTGACAGCGAACGGGAAGCAACTCTGCAACAGGGCTGCGGGGCGAAGGCTGACTTGGATTGTATCATCCTGCTCACTGCTCTGTTTTCGGCTGCATAACGTGAAGCTACAGGGGCCTCTTCCTTAGCCGTCGCTTCAGCTGGGATCGGAGCCAATGTGGTGTCCTGGGCACGGGAACTGTTGCACTTAACAAAACTAGACGAAGGATGCACGCTGGCTGCTCGAACCCGCGAAGCAGCAGGGGCCGCGGCCGGGGCAGCAGGCGGCTTGGGCTCGTCTTGTGCCTTGGTCGTGGCACCTGCGCTCCAGGAACTACAAACCGCAAACCTCTGCACTCAAGGGGCCGCGGCCTTTGTCCGCATCCAGGATGAGCCTCCTGATCGGCTTCTCCTGGCTCCATGCTGGGGATTTGTACTCGCACCTTGTCCAAACTTGCAGCAAGGCCCTTAAACCCGCATTTGCCAAGCACAAAGCGCCACGCTGTGCAGCAAACAATGTCATCGTAAGCTGAAGGAAGCTGTGCATTTCTTGAAGTGCTTGCGGAAAGTTGTGCCTTGGCCAGCTTCGTGTCCTCCTCGTGGCTCTCAGCAACGCTGAGTGCCTCAGCAGCAGTTTTCGGTCTTATGGGAGCTGTTCGTCCAAGACGAGATATACGACAAGCTTTGATCTTTCAAGCGACGTTTCACGGCTGCGGCTTTCGACTCTTGCACCAGTTTGGGTTTGAACCCGTCTAGGCTATCGTACGGACGGTGAAGCTACAAGTTCCAGGAAGTTTGAGTGCCGGACATCCAGGTTCCCTGCCACGACCTCGGCCTTTGCAGAGATGTTTGTCTACACTCACGATCACATTTCTCCACGATTTGTTACGTTTTTGGCATGGAGAACTCCCGTCGGCCTAACTCAAGTCGAACACCAGACAGTGACAAACCAACATGGAATCCCATCAAAAGGCCTAAAGAGCTGAGTGGTCTAACACGTAGGACCTAGGCTGCACGGTTAATCCTGTCGGCTTGGCCTTCGCAGCGTCGCCTGAAGCTTCCGTTTTCATCTGGCCGACACGATGCACAAGAGCAGGGAGGACAAGTCTGCACTCTGGACCTGCCTCCGTCTATTCCCCCCTGACTGCTCCAACATGCTAGCTGCTAGCTCCGATGCACCTTGGCAAGTGCAGCCTCTCCGTCCGCCGGAGGGCTCGCATTTGCCTCAGCAAGAGCAGGCGGCATGTGCCGCCTAGTGTGGTGTGTCATCAGCCTATCGTGGAGCTTCGCTACTAGTACAACGGTAAAGTATACACATACCTTCCAAATCCAACCAGACAAGACAGGCAAACGTGGCCCTTAAGGAGACCTCGTCGAATCTGAGCTGAGCGGCATCTAAAGCGGAGACGGTCGTCTGCAGCGGCGAGGCCTCTGAGGATCTGCCGGTCTGTGCGTGGTGAGTTCCAGGGTAGCAAAGGGGTAATGCGGGGGCCTTAACATTAGACTACAATTATAATAAGGAACCCCCAAAACAGTATAGCTAATTATTTAGGCCCCTATAGTAACTCATGTGAGCAGATGTCAAGATTCTGGGCTGCGGCTAAGACGGTGAGGCCACTTCTCTATTCTCCTGCTCTTCTGTCCTTACATAATCGTAGACCAAGTCTGAACTCCAAGATAAGCACCCTGACTCCCAAGCAATCGTCTCATGCTTGGTGCGGTGAACACCGGGAAAGCTGGGGATCGGAGCCGCAGGAGCTTGAACCTGCACAGCTGCATGCTTGGAGCAGGCTAAACTATGAGGTGCCCACCTGACTCTGCAATCAAGACCCTACAAACTTGCAGAAACTAACTCTTAGTGGTACCCTCAGCAACTCAATCAAACGGCCGTACCTCGCGCGTGAGAACCGACGTGCAACACCATGAACCGCCAAACACAATGCCTATGTGTCGATTTCTTCCTACATCGAGGTGCAGCATAGAAGTCGAAAATGCCTTCAACCGATCAGGATCATCTCCGAGTATCGTCTCACTGTTGCGCTCTGCTCAGCTTTGGCTATGGCGTGCTGCCCTATAAATTGAACGATCCCCCTGTTGTACGCTACAAAGCTAACGTAGGGGCCTTCATAATTAGAACAGGGTGTTGGGGGTTCCTTTTTATAATTGAGTGTAAGATACCCACAAACCCTGTTCTAATCATTAAGGCCCTTATATTATACCCAAAACACAAAACCCCTATAGAGCCCTGAAGCCCTACGAGACCCGATGAGAAACCATGGTCTGGGGGCCTCAAAACACCGGAATAGTGGGCGTGGGTATCTTATACTATACTTCTATAAGGCCTTCATCGGGGATATCGTGTTATAAGATGTTACCTCCAAAAGTCGACCCTACAAGCACCCATAAACCCTTATGGTAACCTTATATCCGTTTACCGTAGCCCTAAACCCTACTCTGGGGGCCTTAATGATTATAGTCTTGGTAATTCTTGAGCCCTCAACCTTAAATCCCTTTAGAGTATTGGAGGCGTCAACAGGTGGGATGAAGGTAGGCAGGATTCAGGATCCCTTCTACAAGGACTCTTATTTTGGGATTACCCCACCTACCTTCATCCCACCCTCAACCCTAAACCCCTAAACTCAAAACCCTTAAACCGTTAAACCCTAAACACCCTTATAGAGCCCTTTTAGAGAAATCCCCTTCGAGAAGCCCCGCTTAGGGAAGGCCTCGAACCTTTCCGCTTTCAAGCGCCGGATGACCAGCGGCTCTGTGGCCTCCAGAGATTTCAGAGAAGTTCTTTTTCGGAAAACTTCGGAGGGGGGGGGGGGTGTCTGGCTTTTTGTTGTTTTTTGAACATGGAGTGTCCAAGGCATCTTTTTTGTTTTTTTGTTGAGGGGGGGGGGCGTTTTTTTTGGGGGCTTTGAGGCTTCTAGAGGTTTAGGGGTCGGATGCCCTTCTGTTTTCTGTTGTCGTCTTTCTGGGGAGAGTATGGGGTGATCTGTGCCAGGCCCATGCTCCTTTGTGTGAGCATCTTGGGTTCATGTCTCTCTCTCTCTCTCTCTCCACAGCCATAAGCCGCTACCATGAACAGTGCACTGCTTAGGATCTCGACACCTGGAGAGACGGGCAGGGAGATGGGATCTCAAACGCCTGGACCTGGACCTGATGCCGTGCTCGACAGGAGGTCGCATGCTGGCACCTGATCTCCCCTTGCCTTTGCCCAACGAGGCTCTGTTTCGGGGGAGCTCACGCACAGGTACCTCGGCCCTCAGAGCAAGCTTTACCCCACCTTCGGCGCAAACGGCGCCGCGGGGGGCTCCACCTTTCAAGAGGCAGGTCCGTGTGGGTGTTGACCTGTTGCAGCTTGTCTGTTGCGCCTGCAGTCGTCGCAGTTGTGGTGCTCTTGTTGCTGCCAGTGACCGGGTCTCATCATGATTGTTGTACGCACACGTCCATATGTGGACTGCACAGGAAGAACCTGTTACTAATCATTCCGAGTCCAATAGAAACCCTAAAAAGCCGTGTAAAAACGTACAAAGCCCTACACAGAAAAGCCCTACAAAACCCCACCAAACCCATGAAAGACGAAGCTCTGATCCGAAGAACAGGTTCAACCTGGCTCAGGGAGGCTGCCAACGTCCCATCTTCGGCGGCCTTCGCGGGTGGCCCGGGAGTCGGTCGGGAGGGGGTTCGGAAGAGGGTTTGGGGCCGTAGCGGTTTTAGCGTTCAGGGCTTAGGGTTTGCTGCGGCTTTGGTGAAAGACATGGTGCGTGGACCCCTCACCATGAGGAACTATGCCAGGCAGAGCAAGGGCGTCTGACTTTTTGGAAGGGGTCCCAGGCCTTTCAGAAGGCTTTGCAGGTTTGGCGTGGACAGGGGCTTTCCGAGTCGTGAGGGGTCATGACTTAGCTCTGAAAGCCTTGCGGGCTTCCTGAACGGAGCAGCAACCATGCCAGTAAAGGAAGCCCAAGCACGAAGCTTCGAAGCGGCTCATCCCTGCCTGGCCCAGAACATCGCGAATCCTCAGTCGGAGGCTTTCCACTTCAGCGCCATCCTTAGGCAAAGCAGCTCCAGGCTCGGAGGCTCGGGGGCTTGTTCCTGGGGGTTCTATGTGGCGCCGCAGAAAGACTTCTTATAGCGACTTCCTGCAGCCGAAAGTGCTTGGATGACTTCTGAAACGCCAATCTCTCAGCTAACGCCCCGAAGCCGAAGCTGCTGATGCTCTCTCAGCTGTGGGCCTGTGGCTCTTCTGTTCCTTCTCCTTGCCTGCGGTTCCAAACCCGAGAGAGCAAAGCAATGAGCTGCCTGAGAGAGGGGCGCTGAGCCGTCCAAAACTTTCAGCTTTCCCGCGCTCCCGTGAAGCCGAAATATCTGAATGTCTGAGAATCGATGTCAAACTGACACTATACTAGATTGCTCTAAAATCGCACGCTTAAAGGTACTTAAACCTGAAACCGGTCCTGCCCTGCTGCGCCTGCACGGCGCTAGCACGGCCTTGGGTATCTCAGGGGGACCGACCTGGGAATACCACGAGTGGATCAAACAAAAGCTCATGACTCGTACTGCAAGGGGATCCTTATCATGAGAAACATGATTCGTAAGTATCGGATACTGGTGGGGCATTGCCAGTACGGGAACCTCACTAGGGCCTGTTTAAGAAGCAATTTTGAGGATGTGTTACTAATCCTGCTAATCGTGATGCACCGTACATGCGTAACAGAGCTTTTCGCCTTGCAAGTAGGTAGTGAAGCCTAAAGTTCCTAAAGTTTGTGTCCATGCCATCTGCAAACTCAGACTCTTGCGCCGCAACAGGTCGAAGCCTTTTCAAGCATGACAGGTTTGCAGATCCTTGGTTTGATAAACCTGCGTGGCACTCGCCAGTTAAAACCACAGGGGCTGGCTGCAAAATCCCAAACCAGTGTGTGCTGGACCTGCGGCTCTGAACCAGTCGCCCGAAACTGCCCACGCAGCCAAAGCCAGGCAGGACTTCCTCCACAAGCAGCGGCCAACCCCAAAAACACCGAAACCACGAAGAGGTACATATTGACGCTTACAGCCTACAATGCGACAAAACCCTCGTAACAGCCGCATAAATCTGAAACCCTAAACCCTCATAACTGAGAGCCTAAGCTTTCGAGGGCCCAGCGGGCTCGTCGGACTTCGGCAGCTTCGGGGGATCGGGTCCTGTCTCCTGTCACTCTTTTCAGGGTTTTCGGGCGTATTCCTTTGTTTGGGTTTAGGGTTTAGGCCTTTGATAACCGACGTTATGATCGTGTTGAGGTATGTGGGGGAGGTGCCACGAAGCTCCTTGCAAATCAATGCCGTTGACGGAGTTTGAGGTAAGCCGTATTCCTTTTGCGATGGGTCGAGGCGGGATTTGTATGTCAATATTATCCTTTGATCAGCCTGCAATGGCGTTTTTAATGTTGTGGTTCGTCGGGTGGGTGTATGAGTCTTGCGGACTGCTACTTTTGGAAAGAGGGCGGTGATAATGGCAATAAGTGTCGATGATGCAGCTGCTGATGGTGCTGTTGCTGTTGAGTATTT